ATATTAAGATATAGATTAATCACAAATATTCATTATATTGCGTTCCGATCAAATAGAACTTTGAGAAAAGATGCACCTCGAAATCATACTAGAGAAATTACATAGTTGTTACGACATCGCACTAAAATCATGCTAGGGTATAATATGATGTGTGACAATGCAGCCACCCAACTCACTCCTGTTTCCTTTTTGTTAAGTAAAATTCAATATCAATCACTTCCACTTAATTCGTTTTCAACATGAAATTTGTTTATTCATCTATATTCGTTTTGAAAGCGATGCAATGTCTCTTTCAATCCTCATAAAATAATTAGGGTTCTCTCATTCTCTCTTGTTATAAAACACAAAGAAACTAATGGTAATAACTCTCTTGTTAACTATTAACATGTGTAGTACTTTTTTGTATTATGGGGTTTGTCCCTCAGGAAGATTTTAACGAGACAACTATTTCGTGTACTTTTATGTACGCTTCTTTGATTCTATGAATGAATCCCATTTCTTAAAAATAAAAATAAAAACTCTGTGAGTGTGTAAAGTTCACTCCCTTTACTCTATAAATTTTGGTACAAAAAATCATTGATGTGATCATGTGATAGTCTAAAACAGTTCAAATGAAAATTCATGAAAGAATCCTAATTGGATTGCAAAACTGTAACGCATCATAAAATCATAATTTTTGACAGCGCCCGCCCAGTGAGACCTTGATCCGAATATTTATTACTTTACAATTTACTTGCATCTGCATCTTGCATGGCTGCTCTCCACATATTAAAACCAAGATCCTGCCACGTCACATGGGGCCCACATAAATAGTGGGTCCACATCAACTCCCACCAGTCATCACCGCCACCATCACCACAACAATCAATCAGACAGAGGAGAAATTAAGGGTGCACATTATAAACCCAAGTTGCAGAAAGCTAGCATCAGTTGAGTTGCGTGGCTGCCTCTCTTGGTTAGATTGGTTTTGGCTCAGGTGGCAGCCATGGCAACTGTTACACGTGTGACCAAGATAACCCATCATTCAGCCATTGATCCCAGCTCCATTTTCACCAGCTGTTTCCGTAATTCATTGGTCTTGGTTTGCTATTTGGTGCTTTTGCTTTCTTCAAACATTTCCCCCTCCTTTGGGCTTTCTGGTAAATAATGGCATGTTCCTCTCAATATGAATATTATTAAGTATATAGAATCTGATTAATATGTGAATTTGTCAATGATAATGATATGAATAGGTGTTGGAGAAGAAGATGAAAACAGAGGGAGCGATTTGTACCCAGAAATTTTGAGGGATGAAGCTGTGGCAAGACTCCATCAGCTTGGAGGGGTATGCCATATTTGGACTTCCTGCTCTTTTTTTTAAATAATTTATTATCGGCATCTTTTTATTAATGTCTATCAGGTGTACATTCAATCACGAGCAGAGCAGGGGTCTTGCAATTGTTACAATTTCTGCAACAGTATCAGGCTCAAACTATAATTACCATGATTTTTACATTTTGTTTTAAATTAAGATCATTGAAAAACTGTTAATTTTTACAGAACCCAAAGTTGTTTTGCATTATTGTCACTCACTTGACTTGATTAATTTAAAATTTAAAATATTGCTATTATTGCCTAATTCAACAGGTAAGTGATGGTGATGGATATCTTGAGAGGACATTCATGAGCCCAGCGGCTGTGAGGGCAGGAAATCTTATCCGGGAATGGATGGAAGATGCGGGTTTGAGAACGTCAGCTTCTATCTTTCTTTGCGTCCAAACAGTGTTTCAGGAATTCTGGTCTCATGTTTTATCTTGATTTCCAGGTGGGTTGATTCCTTGGGAAACGTACATGGTCGAGTTGAGGGAAGGAATGCTAGTGCTGAAGCTCTGTTAATGGGTTCCCATTTGGTAACGTTTTTTCCTCATATTTCCTAATTGAATTTAGACTTTGAAAAACATAACATAAAACATGATGACAAGGAGTATAGTGTTCTTGGATGCCAATAATTAACAGTTCCATAGCCCCTTTTTTTCTTATAACAGGATACTGTTGTTGATGCTGGGAAATTTGATGGTTCATTAGGCATCATTTCTGTGTTAGCTGCATTAAAGGTTTTGAATATCAATGGGAAGTTGGGAGAGCTAAGCCGGCCAGTTGAGGTCAGTGAATGATGGAGGCTTTAATGGAAAGATACCACTGCATTATTGAAACATTTTTGAGAAGTTTCTTGTGAAACTTTTTCTGCTATGTGATTATATTGCTTGAACAGAGGTTTCTTTGAAAATATGCCATTTCTCATTTGAGCAAATGTTAATACGATTGTGATTAGGAAAAAATATGTTTAAGACATCTTTGGATGGAATTTCAGTGGAAGGTCTATTATGAAGTTTCAGTTAACTTTCATCATTAACTCTGTTTTCCAATTTGTGGCCATTCTTTTCAAAATAAAGTAAAGAGAAACGTAATTGGTTCAGTGAATTCCAAGGGTGGTGAAGTCTTACAATTATGTAAGGGAAAAGAGTAATTTTTCCCTTTGTGTTTTACGGTATGTAAGAGGAGTAGAAATTTCTTCCATTTGTGGTGGCTATGCCCTCTATTTATATGTTTCATGTTATTTCTGTTTTCCAACATTGCAGGTAATAGCATTTAGTGATGAAGAGGGAGTAAGGTTTCAGTCTACATTCTTAGGCAGTGCTGCTGTAGCCGGAATTTTGCCAGTTTCAGCACTGAAAATAACCGATAAAAGGTTTCCTTGGATAAATCCCATCATATATCTGTTTGCAGTACTACTCATTAGCAATGTATTTATGTGTAATCCTTGTACAGTGATGTAACAATTCAAGATGCTCTTAAGAAGAACTCCATAGAAATTACTGAGGAGAACTTGTTGCAGCTCAAATATGACCCGAAGTCGGTCTGGGGTTATGTTGAGGTATGATGGCCTATAGACAAGCCTGTATTAGAGTATCCTCTCTGAAAACAACAATAAAACTCAGCACCATGAACTTGTAAGTTGTTTTAAATTTCTGACTTCATGCCTTGCAATTGGTTCATGTTGCAGATTCATATTGAACAAGGACCTGTACTAGAATGGGTTGGCTTTCCTCTAGCAGTGGTTAAAGGCATAGCTGGACAGACACGACTAAAGGTATATGAAGTGTTTCAGCTTGCATAGTTGCATGTCTAAATTATGGTTCATTTGATTTACAAAAAGATGAAATTGTTTCATTGTTCAGAATTTTATTATGCAGCTGCAGATTATTTTCTTCATTTGTAAAATATTCAAAATGGGGATAATAATAAGATAAATAGCATGTCTCATGAGCCACATGTATTTCCATAGCTCACATAAGGGTAAAATTTATAGCAGATCCCAGTCAGTACAAGATCTATACGATGGCTCTTTACATGTAATTTTTGGACTCTTTCATCATGGATACCTTACTGTCTGAGCTAGCACTTTAGCTTCTTATCTTCATTGAGCAATCCCATGTGCATCAATATTGTAGGTTACAATGAGAGGCTCTCAGGGGCATGCTGGAACAGTGCCAATGTCTATGCGACATGACCCTATGGCCGCTGCTGCTGAAGCGATTGTGTTATTAGAAAGTTTATGTAAACATCCTCAAGATTTTCTGTCTTTTGATGGCCATTGTAAAAGTTTCTCAATGCAATCACTTTCAACTTCACTAGTTTGTACTGTTGGAGAGATATCAACTTGGCCAAGTGCAAGCAATGTCATTCCAGGCCAGGCAAGAAGTTCATCTCTTGACACTGCTAAATTCGCCAGCCTGCTCAAATGGGGTTAATTGTCATTCAATTGTCAAAATATGTAACGAAAAAGAACTTCTTGATTTCAGGTAATGTTCACCGTAGATTTGCGCACTATAGATGATATGGGACGTGAAGCTGTTGTTTATGAATTTTCTAACCGAATGTATCAAATATGTGATAAACGTTCAGTTTCTTGTACAATTGATCGTAAGGTGAGGGACTTTTGTATCCTGGTCCATCATTTTGCAGGCTGCTTAACCTTAATACTTATATGCGTTGTATTTTTTCAGCATGATGCAGATGCAGTCATTTGTGATTCTGAGTTGAGTTCAAAGCTAAAGTCTGCAACTTATATTGGACTCAAGAGAATGACAGGTGCCGCCATTCAGGATGAAGTTCCTGTTTTGATGAGCGGAGCAGGACATGATGCAATGGCTCTGTCTCATTTAACTAAGGTTTGTTTTCACTTTCAAGATGAATCATAAACCATGTTATTGTTTGTGTTGATCACCTTGTGAAAAATTCTGGCCTGCAAAATTTGGAGCAGGTGGGAATGCTTTTCGTGCGCTGTCGTGGAGGCATAAGTCACTCCCCTGAAGAGCATGTATTGGACGATGATGTTTGGGCGTCTGGTTTGGCAATTTTGGCATTCATAGAGACTGAGATGTAATTGGAAAATTTGTTGAGATTACTGTACAGTAGTAGAACATCTCAATAATGTAGTATATGATGATATTTCCCATTTTGTGTATAGTTTTTGCCTGCTGTTAAGGGATCACATGCTCTGCAATGTGAAGCCCCTGCAATTATGATTTTCTCTTGCCACTTTACTATATAAATGAGGACACATATTTCCTTTCAAATATTATATATATATATATATATATATATCAGGATAATTGAAATTAACCTGAAATTGCAAAGAACGTGAAAGAACAAGGACATGTCACGTATAAAAGCTAATAGGCCAGCTTGACCTATAACTCTCAGCATTTTGGGTTTTTCCCTGCATTCTGACAATTGGCCAAAACCTGCTGCTCCTATACATACATAGTCTGGTCTTTGAGCATTTCCAATTTTTGAAATTCAAAATCACCAGACTTGATTATATCCACAATAAAATTACTCAATGCATTATTTTTATACGTTTAGAAATTGAAATACATTTGACAAGCAGCACGCACATGCATATTGTTACTGTTTTTTTAAAAATTCTTTTTCTTTGTTTTGACAATCTCGGCGGTACGAGAGAATTTATTGAAGAAGTAAAAGAGTAACACCTAAACAGGTAGGACAATAACCAAAACCCCATGTAAGAGAGCCGAAAACAAAGCAAGGAAAGCACTAAAACAAACCACGCCAATCCAAATAAAAAAAATAGCAAAAACAATAATTTGAAACCTAAGACAAGTCCCCGAGAGTAAGCTTCAGCAGCAGAAGGCACGCAAGTAGCCCACCAGAACACGTACGCATGCACATTTTTATTTATTTTTCTTCCCATCACAATCTCCCTTGCCAATGAGCTGCTTTCAATGCAACTGTTAATGTTGCCTTCTCTCTGACGTTGTCAAAGAATTGAAAATAGGCATACCTCCATGACTTTTTTACAACCAACGTGCCACAAACACCCCAAAAGCCTATGATGAAACCGAGTGTAGTGCTAGCATAAAACCAAAGCACTTCCTTATCTTCTTTACTGTGATCTTCTGCAGGAAAAGTTTGTCCTATACTTGTGTCATCTACCGGACAAAGAGTTGAAAGAGGAGCCCCACACAATGATGGATTGCCTTCATAAATAGATGGATCATCGAGGGTTTGGAGTTGGTTGCCCGAAGGTATTTTTCCAATCAAGTTGTTGTCAGATAATTTCAAGTGAGATAGAGAGGTTAAAGAAGAAAAGCTTTGAGGAATACGTCCTGAAAGATGGTTGTGTGAGAGATCAAGAGTTTCCAGCCAATGTAAATTTCCTATGCTTGAAGGAATTTCTCCAGTTAATCCATTCATCGACAAGTTCAACGTACCCAATTCAAGGAGACTGCCTACTTCTTCAGGGATTTCACCTTCAAAACTATTTGACGAAAGATCAATGCTCTTTGCCAAAATGATTAATTGGAAATCTCTGTATTCGAGTTCTTTCCCTTTTGATGTTATTGTTGTTTGTCCATAGTATTCATCATAGAAGTAGCGGATATCGTCACCCTGCACAGGAAGGTTTTTAGCATCAGCTTGGGCTAGAGAAGTCATATTTTTCAGACACTTTGGAATGGTCCCTGAAAGGCGGTTGTGACCAAGGTCTAAGACGTGAAGGTAGGGAAGATTGCAGAATTGTTGCGGGATATGCCCACTTAAAAGGTTTTGTCGCAGTTGCAACAGTTGCAACGTGGATACATTTGAACCAATCCATAATGGTAGGTTTCCAGTGAATTTGTTGCCTCCAAGATGAAGTATCCTCAAAAAAGTGCAATTTTGCAAGGAAAAAGGAATTTCACCACCAAAACTGTTGTTTTTCACTTTTAAAACCCGAAGAGAACTTGGGATACCCATTGAACTCGGAATATTACCGGAGAGATTGTTGTGGGCCACATCAATAACTTCTATTCGGCTCCACAAACTCCAATGTTGAGGGAATTCTCCAAATAACGTATTGTTTTTCAGCGAAACGACTTTCATATCCTTTATGTTGCAAATGGAGGTTGGAATGGTACCACTTAAACGGTTGTCAGAAACATACAGTTGTCTCAATTTAGGCATCAGTTGGTCTAAATTGGAGGGAATTGGCCCAGAAAACAAATTGCTTTCAAGATCAAGGAGGGAGGCGCTAGTGGACCAAAGTGGAAATGGTCCCTCAAATTGATTATGACCCAACTTGACATATTGTATCTTTGGAAACTTCAACTGGAAGGGAAGCTTTCCGAGGATATGGTTATAAGATAAATCCAAATACTCAACTTGGGAAGATATCTTCAAGAACCATTCCGCTGGTACGGAATCCGAGATGGAATTATTTCGAAGAATAACACTAGATAGTTCAGTTTGTGATTGAAGCCATGCCCCAAAACCAGGACCTATTCGACAGTTGGCAATCTCAATTGTCTGGAGCTTGAAAGGAGGAACCCAATCATGAGCCATGTTGAAAATGAGGGACATGGGTTTCTCAATTTCATCACTGTATATTGAAAGATATTTCAATCTGGTGAGATTTATGAAATGAGCTTCAGTTAGAATGTCTTTCCATGGATTACGAGACAGATGAAGTTCAACGAGCTCGGACATTTTTCCCAGAGTTTCTGAAATGGACCCGTTCATACAATTACTAGAGAGCTCCAATATTGTTAAGGATGACAAGTTTCCAATAGAAACTGGAATGGAACCAATCATATAATTTTCATAGAGGTTCAGTGTTTTCAAGGAAGACAAGTTTCCAATAGATTCTGGAATGGACCCGTTCATATGATTATCAGATAGGTCAAGTTTTTTCAAGAATGATAAGTTTCCAATAGACTCTGGAATTGAACCCCAAAAATTGTTGCCCCCAAGGTCCAAGTATTGCAAACTTTTTAACATTCCTAAGGAGGCCGGTAGTTTGCCTCCCAGACCACAAGCAGACATATCTACTAACCCTAACATTGTATTATTTGGACAGTTTAACAGACTCCTCCAAAACTCTTCAATCCCCTCACCATCAAAGTTGTTCAATCGAAGACTTAATGTCTTTAGCTTGCATAAGTTTCCAATGGCTCTAGGAATTTGACCTGTGAGGCCCAAAAAAGATAAATCGAGGTATTCTAGAGATTTGAGGCTTGCAAGTTCACTTGGAAAATGACCACTGAAAGAATTCCCGCTTAGATCAAGTTTTATGAGGCTAGTAAGGTTGAAAAGCCAGGTGGGAAATGGAAAACTATCGAAATTATTATATGACATATCAAGGACCAAAAGTGATGATGTAAAGTTAATATTGCTCTGCATTGAGAGTGAAAGGCTTTCAATTTTGCATGAGGATAAGTGTAACTCTAGTAAGGAAGGAAGCATGTTGACATCCACCCAACTTACTCCTGTGCTGCTAAGATTCATGCCTCCGAGATTTAGGTATTTTAGGGAAGAGAGATGAGAAAGCCAATTCAAGCTATTCGAAGGTAGTTCAAGTAAGGAGTAGCCAGATTGTTCACTGAGGTCAAGGCAGTTCAAGTGTGATAAGTTACCAAAAGAAGGGGGAATCTCTCCCGAAAATGATGCAGAGGAGATATTGAGATATCTCAGACTTTTAAGCTGACCAAGAAACTCAGGAAAGTGAATCTCATCAAAATCATTGTAGCTTAGATCCAGATAATTTAAATGTTTCAAGCTAAGCATAGATGGATTTATCTTACCTCCCAAGCAAGACTGGTTATAAGCCAACTCCCCCCATCCATCATGATATCTCAAATACGGATATGGATTCCGGAGGTTCACCTTTGCCACATGACCGGTGCGGTTGTTGCATGAAATCCCTTCCCATTGGCAACAATGGTGACCAACCCAAGAAGAAAGCCTCCCAGAGGGATCCTTGAGATCCCGTTTAAAACTGAGAAGCGCACTTCTCTCTTCCTGGATGCATGATCTCACACTTGTGCTTGTAACTCCATCACCCAAACAAAGACAGTAGCTACCACTAGAGTGCAGATATGATGATGCCAAAAACAAAAGGAGCAAAAAGTGAGAAATATAGAGAGGCTTGAATGAATTTGAATACAAAGTATCCATTATACACATCAAGTTTTGTTTTCTCAATTTTTGTTTGTTGCAGAAAAATAATCTGGCTACTCAATGAGCGAACTCTTCATATATACTAGGCAAGGAGCGGTTTGTACTAGTTTGCAAGTCCATTCAGACTCAGGTAAGATAAATGCCGGCCCGTAGTGGGCTAGTCTAGTCTAGTCCCCATAATGTGAAACAACAAGAGCCGGCGTGTACGACAAAGCTCCTATTCAAATGTTTGATCCGGAAGCATTTCCACACTACTTTATATAATGCATTTGACATGACATGTTCATGCCTGTTTGGTTTGTGTGGTAGGCCTAACCCAACCAATAGGGCAGAACATAAACGAACTTAGGAAGGCCACATGTCGAGAGCTCATTTGTTTTGCCTATAAATGGAGCTCATCATGTATTTCGTACATTCATCCACGCACTCTCTCAAAAAACGCTTAAGCCTATGTGTAAAACGTACCTTCTCATAGTGAAATTTCAAAACAACCGACCGTAGACTTAGTATTTTAGCTTTTTATCTTGATTGAACTTTCCCATATGCATGAATATAGATAGGCTCCCAGAGGCATGCTGGAACAATGCCAATATCCATGCGGCATGACCCTATGGCTGGCTGCTGGCGCTGAAGCGATATTGTGTTACTATATGTAAACATGCTCAAGATTTTGTGTCTTTTGATGATCATTGCAAAATTTTCTCAATCAACTTCACTAGTTTGTACCGTTGGAGAGATATCAACTTGGCCAAGTGCAAGCAATGCCATTCCAGGCCAGGCAAGATTTCATGTAACGTTCACCGTAGATTTGTGCGTTGTAGATGATATGGGAC